TGATTAGGGAGTTTTAACACAAACCACCCAATGGACCTGTAATTTATTTTCAACCCCCAGTCCGAAGCTAACACAACTTTTTATAAGTTGGGTCAGACGGAATTTGGTGTGAAGGGGGAGGGGAGACAATTAAATTTTTTTTAAATAAAATTATTGTTATTTAAAAATATATAGCATAAATTAATTAGGATTAATAACTATTTCTAATACACAATTTTAAATTAATGTGAATTATAAAAAATTAAATATATAAACCGGCATATAAAAAACTATAAAATAAATGTGAATTAAAAATATTAAAAGGATATAACCTGCGGATGAAAAACTATAATATAAATGTGAATTATAAAATATTAAGTGGATATAACCAGCATTCACTATAAAATAAATGACCAAAAAATAGAAATTTAAATTTTTTGAGCTTATAAAATTTATATATAAAGTAAAAAAAATTTAAATGTTGGAAATATAAATTATTACACAAGTTTCTTAGGAATAATTGTATTTTGTATGTAATAACTTAAAAAGTATTCATGAAAAAATATATAACACATTAAAAAATAAATCACACAAAAAATATTATTAAGAAGCATATAAATTTATAATGTAAAATCCAATCTTCGTTGGGATTGGGTTAATTTTTCTTATCTCATCCATGCTTGGCGTCAAATGCCTATGAATATTCAAAAGGGCCAAACCATTCAATATACTGTCAGATGTTGTACTTCTTAGGTATGTTTTTGTTCTTCTTAAAGAAGGGAATTTTCTCTCATTAGTTGCAGTACTAATGTGAAGTGTTGCTAATATATATATAATAATTTTAATACATTGGGAAAATAATCTTAAAGATGTTTGAAATGATACAAAACATTTTTTTTTCTATTACCATCTGAAAAAGGTTGGGGAGGCTTTTGTGGAAGTAATATCTGCAGATGGCTAAGTGCTGCCTGATGAATTAAAAACTGTTCGTTTATTTGGATAATAAAGTATCTAAGAGAGGGATAAAGACATTTATTTTATAATACTCTTCTACTGACCCTTTATTAATGTTAGGACGATGATCTTAACTTGCTGCAAGTCGAGGGAGACAAATGTTAAACTCGTATAACTCTACGTCTGACTCAGAAATAACAGTTAAAAAATTAAATTCCTCAACATCATTAGCCCTAATTTCCCTGAATTCTAATAAAATGCTTTCCGCTATTCTCATCGTCAATCAAGTCAATGTTATGTTTTTGAAAATACATAAAATAGTTGTATAATATATATTCTAATAAGAGAAAAAAGTATAAGTATTGAATCCAATGATTTGCTTGCTTCTGAGGAAATATCTCATTCAGGCAATTGTGATATTTCAGTAAGAGCATTAATAATCGACTCTTCTACTCTATAAAAGCTGTTACTGCTTGATGGCATTGGACAAGCTTTTTGCAATTTCATTCTCCTTGTTGAACAAGGAGTTTCAAATATAATTCTGTTTACAGAATCCCCTAATACTAAATTTTGCAAGACCATAAAATTACCTTCATTAACATTATTATTGAAATTCAAGCTTCTGAATCCAAATGGCCACGTAATTCTAGGCCCTGCAACAATATAGAATGGCCTCAATAGTTAGTTTGATCTTACATCTATTTTCTTTTGCTATTTAAACCCTATTTTTGTCAATATGTGATAAAATGGGATCATAATCGAATTCGAGCCGGACCTAATATTTTAAATAAAAAAATTTCGGGTTGGGTCGGGTCGGACCTTGTAAATTTTTTAAAATATATCTAAATTTATCAATTTTATATTGAATTTTTTATGTAAAATAAAAATATTTGATTTTATTTATTGAAACTAAACGACTAACATAAGTCTTTTATTTTGAGTAATTATAAAGATTAATTTCTATATTTAAATAAATTCGGGCTGGGCCGGGTCGATAAATTTTTTTTAAAAAAAATCGATTTCGGGCTGGGTCGGCATCGAACTTATATAACAAATGATTATTCAGCTTTACTCAGTTTACTAATATCATATAAAACAATAAATAGAATAAAATAACTAACAAATAGACTGACTCAATTGATGGTGAAGAGATTAATTTAAGAAAACCTTTCAATTGTGACCACTTGTAACACCTCTTAAAAATGGTCAGACTAAGGCCCTTTCACATAATTATTTAAAAATACTTAAATACCTAACTTCCCTAAATTTATAACTGGTGTATTAATTTCCCGTAATTAATTAGGCCTGATATCAGAGATAAGACCAGGCTGGCTTACTTACACTACGTTCTCTTCTAAATTAAATCATTTTTAAATAGCGGGAGTCATTTATTGTATGGCGCTGTGTAATCGAAATGTGATTATGCATTATTTTAAGATTCTTTGGAAATGGTTGATAATAAGAGGAAGTTGGTCACATCACAAATAGACTATATGAAAATTTATCTAAGTTTTCAACGTCGAATATTAAAAAAAAAATACATTATAAAATATAATTAACTAACTTTACAATAGTGGTATGTAACTTCATAAATTAACAACCAAAAATATAATAAAGATCTAAAAATAAAAATATTATACTTATTATATTATAACGTTAATAATAAATAAAACTGGAAGTCATTTGATTTGGGTCCGCTGTCTCGAATATTAAAAAGTATCAAAAATACAAATAAGCTAAAATGGCGACCAATATGGCCCCTAAAGGTTGAAGCGAGAGATTTTAAATTATAAATATAAAATTAAAATATGGCCGCCAAAAAATTTCAATCGGTTACTACATATGAGAGAGATTTTATAATTTAAATTAATATTAAATTAGTAACGAATTATTAGAAATTTGTAATTTAATAAAGTAAATAATACAATTTTTAAATATTTATTAATTAATTGATATATAAAAAAATTAAATATAGGATTGTTTGTAGTATTTAATATAATGTAATCAATATAATTAAATTTAATATAATAGTTAATATTATTAACATAGTTAGTATATATATATTGAATATAATTATTTATTTACATCATATATAAAATTTAAATATTTATAATATATTTAAATATTTAATATATGTATTTAATATTAAATTAATTGATATATAAAATAATTAAATATATGATTGTTTGTAGTATTTAATATAACATAATCAATATATTTAAATTTAATATAATAGTTAATATTATTAACATAGTTAGTATAATATATTTTATATATTAATTTACTTATATATTGAATATAATTGAATATATATTTAATATAATATATTTACATCATATATAAAATTTAATTATAATTATTTATAATATATTTCGATATATAAATATATATTGGTTTATATAATATATTGCTTTATGATTAATTGGTATATGTTAATTACTTAACTTACTAAGAAATCTTTCTAAATAAATTTTTTATCGTTGGATTTTTACTTATTTATATAATCATTAGATTTCCTCACATCTTTTAATTTTTTTGAGATTCTATTAGTATATATAAGTTACCTAACTTAGTAGGAAATCCCTGAATAAATTTTTTATCGTTGGATTTATACTTATTTATATAATCATCAGATTTCCTCACATCTTTTAATTTTTTTGAGATTCTATTAGTATATATAAGTTACCTAACTTAGTAGGAAATCCCTGAAAAAATTTTTTATCGTTGGATTTATACTTATTTATATAATCAACAGATTTCCTCACATCTTTTAATTTTTTTGAGATTCTATTAGTATATGTTACCTAACTTAGTAGGAAATACCTGAATAAATTTTTTATCGTTGGATTAATACTTATTGCAATGTTATACATTTATTAGCAATAAAGGATATTAATTTATTTTATTAAATAATATTGGATTCACAAATAAATATATAATCTTATAATACATTATTTATAAGGGTATCATTTAGTATAAATATACGAATAACGGTTAAATACAGAAAAAAATAATTGGATAAAAAATGCGCATAAATGCAATACAAAACGTTAATAAATAAATAAAAAATCACAAAAATTGTGGATAAATACAATATAAAATTAGGCTATAAATGTAAGAACGACCATAATATTGTAATTGGCGTATACCACTTCTGTATGACCCGACTAGAATATAAATACTTAGACTAATAGCTGTTATTTTATTGACAACATGAAAATTATTGAACAATTAATATAATTACATGACGGAGGAAAAATCGTGAAAAAAGAATATATGGCAAAAGTAGACATTGTAGTTTTAAAAAAACTTAAATGTGATTTTGTGTGCTCTTGGGTTAATATAATATCACCATTTGAAAGGGGAAGGGGGTGTCGTGTTAATTGAATAACACGTCCCATAATGGATTTAACTGATAAAAAGGTAGGTAACGTTTTGGGGTTTTGCATACAGAAAGGATCGAGTTTTCTGTCTCTCATAACCTTTCTGTATGTCTTTCTAATACTGATATTTTGATTTAACATAATAAGTTCTGTTTTAAGCATATTGATCGTGATGAGCGTATTATTTATATCTTCATCTATGATCAATATGCTTGTGTCATTATAAAATGAGTATTTAAAATCCTCCTCCCTTTACAATGTTTTGTATGGCATTTATAATATATTAATTTATCATTAATGTACAAATACTTATTAGAATATAAAAAGTCATTATTATATTTTGATTTTATTAATTTATAAATTGATTTTTTTAAAAAAATAAATCTTGAAAATTGAATTGTGATTGATCTATTTAAAAAGAAAATAAATTTTGAATATCATTGCAATTAAATTGATATAATGATTATTATTAATATAGAATTTTACATGGAATTGATGCATAATTATTTTTACTGACAACAGCTTCTTGGGTGTGAATAGGAATATCATCTTGAATAACTTTATAATTGATATAGTAAATGTATTAATCATATTATATTTACATGGAATTAATGCACAATTGTTTTAACTGACAACAGCTTCTTGGGTGAGAATAGGAATATCATCTTGAATATAGCTTTATAATTCTTTAGCATCATACAGAAAAATAATTTTTTTGAAGGCAGATTGCATCTATAATATATTAATATAAAATTTATCTATAATTAATATACTCGTGCATTCTTTGGATATAGTAAAATTGTTCTTAACAATCCAGGGTCCAAGGCATGGTTTATTTGTGTATGTAAAGTAAGCAGTATGCTTTTTAAAGTGATTAGGCATAGCCATCTGAAACAGGTATTAGTGGATTATATTTTGTTAAAAAAAATAGTAATAATTTTCCTTAACTAAGATTATATCTTAATTTCAAATAATATAGCCAAAGTATAATATTATTACAAAATACTTTTAAAGTAATAATACTTTATTGAATGTATGATATATCTTAATTTTATTTAAGATAATATTTAAAATATTAGTATTGGAGAATATGTACAATATTTCCTATAGACTGAATGAAGTATTGAAAGGTCTATATTTATGGGCAAGTTGATCTACTAAAATTTAATATTATAATAGAAAACAAAATATCATAATAATACATTATCAGATTTGGTCTGGGTAGGATGTGACCCTTTTGATTGATATTACTATATGCACCTTTATATACTATATAAATATAATTATGTAATTATAATAGCATAAAATATCTCCATGTCATATTTAATTAATAGTTTAAAAAAAATTGGTTACCTTTATACTTCCTATTTATATAAACTCAAAGTATTATGCTGGGTTGATTATTGAAAAATGGTATTTAGCTTGTAAATTCAATTTCACCTTTTTTCACCTTTTCGTAAAGCGACAAAACGTATAAAGTTAATAATAATTCGAGACTACGGGACGATACGAGTCATTTAAATTAATGATAACTTTTAAAATTTTATTTTTATAAAATAATTTGTTGTATTTTTTATATCAATATTTTAATTTTGACTGGTCCTATCCATAAATTCTTAACTTTATTAATATATTTAGTACAAACTGTATTATTATTTAGTTTATATTACATTTCTTTTCTTCTTCTATTTTTCCGCTTTTTGACAATAATAATTAGGTTCAATTATTATATAAAATCAGTTGATTCGCCTTTTTTGATAATTAACATTATAATTATAAAATACTATATTATATTATAATAAACAGGTGCTTTTATAAATATATTTCATATTTTCATATAAAAATAATGTGAATTTTTATCCTTTACGTATATGATGACATGCTATTTAAATTTTAAAAATGCCTTATAAAATTGTGTGAATTATTAGAGAAAGGGAGTAATCTGCAAAAGTAGGCCCGGCCCGAGCTCGGCCCGGCCTAAACGGCCTAATATTTTCAAAAAAATCGGGTTCGGGGCGGGTCGGGCCTAATATTTTTATAAAAATTGGGCCGGGTTTTAAATTTTTTTTAAAATATATCTAAATTTATCTTTATATTGAATTTGTAAAATAAAAATTTTTGATTTTATTTATTGAAACTAAACGCCATATATATGTCTTTTATTTTAAGTAATTATAAAAATTAATTTCTATATTTAAATAAATTCAGGCCGGGTCAGACCGGTAAATTTTTTATAAAAAAATTTCTGGTTCGGGCCGGGTCGGCATAACTTTTAAAAAAATTAGGCGTTTTAAGGGTAATTAATGCGAAAGCTAATTATTTGTTAATGTATAAAGTAATAGGAATTAGTATACTAATAATTTTGTTGTTTTCTGTGTCAGGGTTTCCACCATCTAATATTTTTTTAATGAAGTTAGTCGGGGTTATTAGTCTTATCAATAATCATGCGATATAGTAGAAAGATGGAAATCAATATTTTAGTCAATCCCATTTAATTTTATAATGTGACTTTGATATTTTATAAAAAACTCAAATCGTGACCAAATTGTCTGAAATTTATTGGTTAGGCATGTTACTCATAATGGAATATATTTTCAGTACAAATTAATTTGCTACCCATTTATTTATTATCACGTTTGTTTAAACTCATATTGTATAATTACGCATATTGCGATAACATATATAAAAATAGTTAATGATTAAAAGGGGGAAAAAAATGGCTAGGAGATTTTGTTCATTCAATGATTTATTCATTCTTTAATTATCAATTAAGATAAATGGTAAATTAGGTAAAAAAAAATTTTTTCCTGAACTAAATTTATAAAAAAAACGGAAACTTCATTGACACTTTCCCATAGCATTGGGTACTTAGAGCGCGTTTTGTCATTCAACATGGCTTTATAGATAGAATAGATTTTTTAATTAAATTTTTTGAAAATATCTTAAAAGTGCTTTTGAGAAATATGTATTATATTTATTCATATGCTATTATCCAATTTTCTAATTCAACCCTTACCTTCAACTAAATTTTTTTTGGCATTGACAAGAGTTTTTCTTAATCTGAGGATTTGATACCAAATAAATAATATTTCCAAATTAAATAGACGAGGGACGAATGTGGAAGCGTCCAGTCTTGGGTAATATCTTTGGGCCGCGTCTGGTCCTGAAAATAATAGACATAGTATAGAGATTTGTAATATTTATATTTACTTTATATTTAATAATTTAATTAAGGAAAATGGTAAAATCTTTCTCAATTTTTTGTTATAAGTTTGATTCAAAAATAACGAATAAAATTTTTTTTTTGAATACTTATCATTTATAATATCTGAATTCCTCTTTTCTCTCCTATGCCCATAATTAATCATATGAACCTTGCCCCACTTCTTCGAACTTATGGAATGGAGTCAAGATTAAAATTCATTTTAAGGTTAATATAAATGATTATTATATATGATTTTTTTCATAATATTTATTTTATTTTTGTAAATAAATATTATTATTGGTTTGAACTTATTATCATTAAAAAGTTATTAATTTTTTTAAAATCGTATTATGCACTTCTACAAATAGCTAAAATTCTTAAATTTTGAAAAATAACGAAATTAAATATAAAAATTAGGGTTTTAAAAATATTTTATAATATTTATTTTTCAATTAAAAAAATTAACAAAAGAGGTAAATCAAAAAAATAAATTATCTATCACTAGAGTCTGATAAAACTCTGTTCCCATGTCTTTAAATAAATGCACAAATACAAAAAGCTAAACCAATTATTTTTGAATCATTCTTATGTGGGGCTAAATCGATATGAAAGCACTCTATTCTTTTATGAAGACGGAATCCCTCTAAAAATCTTTCTGTTTTCAAATATAATCCTTATGCATAGTTATAATTAAAGTGCGTGCATAACGATCTTTTAGAAATCTCATTCTAAATCCTTTTCCTTAGAATTCAATCAAATTCAATTATTGGATTTTAGTATACCTTTTCAGAGTAAAAGAGAAATTCCAAATATAAATTTTCAAATTGCTTATTTATATTAAAAAAAATGTTCCTTTTCCATTCAAAAAAAATCTAGAGTATTGATTCCAATCAGCCTAATATTTTCTAATTTTTAAATTCCAAATCAGATTCTTTAAAATCTCCATTTCAAATTATAGAACCTCATCTGATAAAAAATTAATTGTAATGTCTTACATATATATAGAATATACCAACATTTTTAGAGATTACAGAGCATGTTTTATTTTATAATTGACGAAACAATACATACTTTTAAAAAAAATTCAAAAAATCGTAAAATTTCCTATATTTCGGGGAAATAAAAACTTTAAATGTGTCTTAAGTTACATTTCATCCTATTCTATTTAGACACACTAATCAAGAATTCCTCCAAAAATCGTAAAAAAACCTTTGAAATCAAAATTCTTTCAATTTTATTTGAAAAAAAAATCCATCAACAAAAATTATCTCAGTATTTGGGGGAAAAAAAACAATTCATATCTTATTTTATGTGCTTTAGATAATATAAAACAAAGGATTGGAAGAATAAAACCGATATAATGAGATTATAAGTTGCTAGAATAATAAAATTAATAAACCAAACAATGGTATTATCAAAAGCCATAACATTACTACTGATGCTAGATATTACAATTGTTGATATTAATTCTCTAGACACTCAATTTAAGAAAGATCTTAATATAGGCGGCTTGGTTTCTCTTAGCGGAAGTTGGAATGGCTCCTACGTAATTCCAGCAATAGAGTTGGCCTTGCAACATGTAAATTTGAACAAAGAGGTTCTGACAGGCTATAGTCTTAAATGGATTTGGAATGATACTAAGGTATATAGTCATAAACATAAAATAAAATCTTAATAAGAAAGAAGGCAAGGAAATATCAATAGTGAATAATATAAAGGAGGGAAATAAAATCTATTTGTAGACCATTTTACTCCTATGAAAATTGTTAAATCAAGAAAGAGCAAATTTTACAAAATTTTATGAATTGAGAGGTAAAATGATAGTTAGGGAATAATGATTACCCCATTCCCCTTTTTTTTGATACTCCCAGATTACCCATTCAGATTTGCATTGTGATTCCAAAATAGCGAAATCTAAATATATAAAATTAAATTCTGACCATAACCACTGCTATCCTTAATATAAAATTTTTTACTATCAACTTTGAGATGTTATAAATCTATTTTCTAATTTAGTGTGACCCTGGAACAGGCTTAAAAGTATTTTTCGATTTTCTTCTCCAAAAACCAGCTAAAATATTTATGCTCGGTGATGGTTGTAGTGTCGTTAGCATACCTATAGCCTCCACAGCTAAGAATTGGAATTTAGTTCAGGTAATTTTTTTAATTCATTTTTCATATAAAAAAATTATAACCGATTAGTATATTCTTTTAATTATTATCTTTAATTCTATGGCAACTGTAACTTAAAAAATATATTAATTAACTTTACTAAATTAAAAGAGAAAGAACCACACTTTATATTTACGTTAATATTCTATCAAAAAAAGGTTTCTTATGGCAGTACAAGCCCTGGGCTATCTGACCGCCAAATCTATCCTTATTTCTTCAGAACAATTGTCACTGAATCAGAACAGAACAAGGCCAGAATATTCTTATTGAAAACATTCAACTGGACAAAAGTGTCTGTTATCTTCCAAAATATTCCTTATTTTCAATCGGTAAAGAAACAGTATATATATATAATACCAGGACCAGCAGAGAGTTAGCATTTGCAAGGCCCGACCCGGATCTAAAAATTTTTTGGCGTTACCCGGATTTTTTTAAATATATTATATTTATTTAAATTTTTAAAGGTAATTATGGCAATTTAAAATATTCGGTTTTAAAATATCTGGTTCGGCCATGGTGTTTTTAAAAAAGTTTAGGTCCGACCTTAATATTTGTAGATCTTACATATCTATGATATATACTATATATTAGACACTTCTCTACCCCCCCCCCCCCTCCCCACTCACTTAATCCAATATCCTCTCACTAAATCAAAATTATCAAACAAAATAAAATTAAACCTTCCTATCTTATTCAAATACTTAAGCATCTTTACAACTCTCTACCTCCCCCCTCTTCTATCTCTCTTCCCCGGGATAGAAGTATCTGCTATATCTA